TTAGTAATGGATGTGGTCAGAATATTTAAATTATAGAAGATTACCTCGGAAGTAAGTTATAAAAAGTTTAACCGAGACCCCTAATAGAAAATAACTGAAACACAACATCTAAAACTATGCCACTTCCGTAAAAAAAATAAAGAAGTAATTATTGTCAAAAATAAATAAAAAATCACAAGATAAATAAACAAAAGCAACATAGAACAATAGGATAACACACTCCCTTTTATTCCTGCCCGCCCAGTGCTCACCTCTACTCAACAACAACCACAAACATTATTCTCATCGGATCGCGCCCCTAGGTACACCATAAGATGTTTACACACACACCACCATACTATTACAAATAAATCTTATCGGATACACCATATGTATATTCGCACAAAACCAGAGTTACTATTCACACGACATCTCCACCACCGATACCGATCACTGCCCGGCATCTTATAGTACATAACCTGGTACGTCGACCGATCACACGCCCATGACACTCACCCAAGGATCTCCCCGTCGCCTGGGGTTTCACGTGACTGAACTTCACCAAACTAAAACATTGCAATATCATCAAAATAATCAACCAACAAAAATTAATATTAAATAATTTTACGTTCGGAAAATAAGTTGAACAACAGAATCATTCAGCATCACAAATGAAAATACATAATCATGCATGAAAAATTAAAATAGCTACATCTTATCCATCATTATGAATATTATTCTGACAAAAACAGCTCAACTACACATTTATTACATCAAATAATGTACGTTGTCCTAACCATTTGATCTCCATTGTACAGTCTCTTAACGACAAACCAACCACAGTAACCTTCACAAAAATAAATAAGATTGATATCTAATTTATTACTTCATAATTCCATTCCTGCATTTTTCCTCAAACAGTAATTTTGACTTTTCGTCAGTTTTTATCTACACTCTTCTATTCCTCAGACCGCTTACTAATACGTAGTCAAACTTATCTCTAACCATATTATCATAAAACTACGACTACGGAGCGGAGTAGCTATCGTCAAGCATGCCAACAACGGGGTTTGAAAGGTCGTGTTGCCATGGTCTTCCAGATATGTTGGTTAGATGGTTGTTGACTATTATTTGTATGTTTTGTTTTTTCTTTTTGGGAGTGCACCCACACGGTCAAGATGAACCAGAGCTTATAGAACGGACAACAACTTTTATACATGTGTGTTGAACCCAGCCCGTGTGTGCAGTTTAAGCTACTTTTGTCGTAGATATGGGGTTCAGGAGGTTTCTCCTCCGGCTGTACTGCAAGCTGCGTGTTTAAATCCCAGGTCAAGTAACGTATCACCACCGTACCAATTCTCTCTGGCGGCCCCTGTGCCGTCAAACTTGCACCCTCGATCCTTTGGCTAATATAATGGTGAGAATAAACGGTTGTCCGGCTCTGGAACAGTTCGTGTTTTCTGAGCAGTGCGACATGCAGCGGCTGGCTCTTCTGGGTTACGGCAGGAGTCTTTCAAACTTCAAAGAGTTGGGTCCACAGCTCTTCCAGTGGCAACTTTACTCCTTACTCTCGTCTATAATACGGGTGAACGATACGCTGGCCTTGCCGCAATCCCTCCGTCGTAAACTCAAATACAATTGAATTAATTTAAGTTTCATTTCTGTGAATAGGCGATAAATCACTTGTCTGATATAGGGTGCGGTTGATATAAAACTTTGATTCTCGCTTGCTTGAGCTTTTCAAATAAATAGTTATCGAAAGTTCAGTTATATACGAAGTGGATAATTTGAATCAAAGATACTGAAAAACAAACTTAGGAATGAAGCAGCTAAGCATAAGGAATAAAATAAATAAACGAAACAAAAATGAAAAAGTGAAAGCAGAAAAAAGAAGTAAGAAGTGTAGAAGTTAAAGGTGAGTGAAGTGGAGTCCGAGAGAGTGACCAGCATTATACCTATCCATCCTGGGTGCGGCCTTGACCGTCGATTCACTTTCTCTATGGCTTCTTATTGATTTGAATATAAGTTCGTAACTTCTAAAGGTTGGATATATAATTTCACCGTTTAACAAAATCCATCATTTTGATTATATACATTGTTTGTACATGAATAACAATAACTTAACCGAAATCTCTACGGATGAAAAAGGTAACGTATAAAATGATTAAATTACATCGTCTTGAAAAGTACCTTATGCTATATTCTCAGATTCTTTACATAAAGATTGCACTTGTGGCTCCATCAACATTCAGACATTTTAGGAACTGATTTGTTGTAACACTTATAATGTATTTGGGCACAGAAACACCAAAACAAACATTACTTTTTGCAATTTTCAACCTCTGGGAATGATCATCTGTTTACTTAGGAATGAAGATGAAATTTTAACCTTTAACAACTTTATTAAATCAATATCCCATATAAGCTTGTTCTCTAGCTGTAGAATTGAGAAGACCATGTTTATACCAGCAAGAAAAACTTCGTATAACCACACAATGGGCCATGGGAGAGTTAACACCACAAGACGATGTATTCCTCAGAGATCGGTTCTCCTCTGGGCTTGAGTCTTCTAGATCAAAAAGAGATGTTGGCCACCATGTCCAAAGTCTATGTGTCCCTAATTTACAAGCAAATCATTAATTATCCCAAAGAGTTGGTTTTGTATTCTGTGGAGGAGTCATTGAAAGAGAGAAGAAGGATGGGGGGTACTGATTGACACTTAAAGATCCAATTCTGTGACCGAGAGGAACCAGGGCAACCTCCAGAGAAGACTTCCCAGGCGCCAACTCTCACCTCCCTTCCTGAGCTCCAAAGGCAGAAAGACGAGAGTCCCTGGCTGTGATTTGGGAAGAAATCAAGGATTATATGATGAGCCTGATGTTAGAAAACCAATAAAGGTCTCCTGCAGAGGTGGAGACGATAGGACAATCTCCTACAGTATAGTACATAGATATTTGCGCAGGAAGCTACAATGATTGATCAAATTTGCTGGGAATGTTCATCATTGGACAAAATTGCAAGGTCGTGCAGAATTAACAGGGACTGGTTGAATTCAAGGTAATTGTTGTCATCCCAACTTCCTAGATTGTAAAATGAAGGGTCTGTGGGTCCAAGTCACACAGGATCCACACTTATAGGATCCCACACATCCACGCACTGGATCTTTTCTGAAAAGACTATTGACAGAACTAGAGCAGGTTCTTCAGTGGAGTATAGCTGATAGTGAAGTAGAGTTTATGTGTCACCTCACACCCTTCACAGCGTGCCCTGCAGTGACCTGTATGCTTGTCTTATCCAGAAAGACTGTAACAAAGAGAAGGCATTGCTCAAGCAGAGGTACAAACCCTCGCTCTTCCAGCACGTCGGCCTCCACTCCTCTCTGCCAGGCAAAGTGCAGCATCTGAAGGTGAGTGCACCTCTGCTCTCTACGTGCTAATGCAGTCAGCAGAAATCAGTTCTGTGGAAGCAGACAGCAGTTAGGTCAAAGGTTTTTATAGATATTGGCTTCCTCTCCAGGATAAGGACTTTGGGAAGCAGGCTCTGCACCAGGCCCACAATAACCCAGCTGCAGAGCTGAGCAGCAGCCTGAAACATTACCAGCAGCACAGTCTGGACAGAGCTTACAGAGGAGTGGACTTCTTCTGGGCATTAACACCCGTCAAGAATGATTTCATCCTCTTCAGCTTCCCCCAACCAATCCACATATCCGGGTCAGTTTGAAATCTATTTTTAAAAGTAAATTATCTAAACCTGTCCACGAGAATGTAATCGAGATCAGTAAACTCAGTTGGTAGAATATTATCCATGAAGAAATAGAAAAGGGGTCTGACATAACTTTAGCTTAGTAAATGTTTCTAGATAAGGGATGATGACTGTACAGAGTTGTATAGTGAAACGTCCTCCTGCTATGTGAGTGTTGCAACCAACACCTCATTCAGAAAACGCAAAGTAAGGGAGAAAATGTAAACATGGAGGAGGACCACACAGCAAAACGCTAGCTAACTAGCTAACTAATCTACATCCATTGTCAGCTGGCTAGTTAGCTAGTGTTTTGCTCATGGATGTATAAAGCGAACTGGATACAGCATTAGAGGCGGTGCTCCTTTGATTCCTATCAAAGCTGCCCAGTGCTGCATGAAGCCGATAAAAACACTTCCCGCTATAAAGAAATAACCCAATTAATACATTCACTAGAGACTTCCACTGGCCGAGCCAGCTAACCTCCGGTTTAGCCCTCCGCTGTTGTGACGCTCAAACAGATGTTTGTATTACAGACGCTTTTTGTGCAGTCTTTTTGGGCAACCATTGCTGTAATTACACAGTTCGTCCACTATGTCAAATTGGCTTGCCCTGTCATTGTTGGGTGGCTCTCTGGTTCACAGGATGCTGTGAGCTGTATCTATTTGTCAATAGGAATGTTTAACCTGCCTCCTGACATTTAAGGTCCCCAAGTTGAAGTGGATGACTGCCGTTCACACAGCTGTTTACCTGCTCTCTGTACAACCACTCCTCCTTTTACCAACACGCTCAAGTGCTTTAGGCAGAACTACCCTGCTAACGTTTTTGTAGTTTAGTGCCATTGAAGAATTGGCTGTATAAAACATAAACCACCAAACCACCAAATGAGGGATGAGAAAATGACATCCCTGTTTGTGTTAGAGGATGAGTTTGTTTTGTTTCTCTTTTTTTTTTATGATGATGATATTATGTTCATACAGTTAATGTATCTAAATGTTTGTTTTGCTCTGACTGATGGCTGATGTAACACAGCAGCAATTCAGCCTATTGCTTCTTGATTTGCCTGTCTAAAACACTTGGTGTTCACAGGTCTTTCCTGAGTAACATTTATTGTTGTGCAGGAGGCGATGCAATTTGAGTGTGTTTGGAAACATCTTGAAATAGATTTGCTGGTTACAGTATGCTCTTTAGCAGGCTCAAGAAATAAAGTTTGAACTGAAGTTTCAGTGTCTAGTCCATCGTTATGGCATTTTGAAGGAAACTAAGGCACCATTTACACCAGTGTTGTCCTCTTTACTGTAGGTACCTGTTTCGCAGTGGAAATATTGAGACGAGTGGAGATAAATTCTACAACACCACAGTGGAAGTGCTTCCCAGCAAAGTGAGTAACCTGCCTGCGTGTGTGTGTGTGTGTGTGTTTCTGTGCATGCCTGTTCTTCGGTTCCATTACTGTCGTCGAGCAGGTCTTGGTTTTCATCTCAGGTGTTGAGTCCTCAGGAAGGGATGACAGGGCAACAGGAAACACCCACCACAACAAGCTATCTGCTATCACGCCACTGCCTTCCTCTGCCTCTGTGTGTGCGTGTGTGTATGTGTGACAGTTGACACTTCTGTCACACCAAAGGGGAAAAGTGGTCATGCCGCTGGTGACCTTTGAGTAAAGTTAGACCGACATGGAATCGCTGTGTGGAAGATAAGAGGGAAACCACGTTACACAAGATGAGTCCAGGTCCAGAGGCTTCACATTGCACCCCAGACTGAACCACTTCTCACATGGAATTATGACCAGAAACAAATTTGAACAAGAACAACATTGTCTATTAATGATCAAACTGATCAAACTGACCAAATTTAAAAAAAATAAATACAAACATGATCAGTGATCAGTGATCCACTGAGAGTATTACATCCAGACCATTTCATACAATTGTGGCAGAGTCTAGATTTGGACTGCAACTGACGACTACTTTTATTATTGATTCATCTGTCAAGCATTTTCTCAATTAAGCCATTAGATGTTTGGTCCAGAAAATAATAAATATGTGAAATATGCAGTTTCTCAAAGACGAAGGTGATGTTCTGAAAATGTCTTTTGTCCACAACCCAAAGATATTTACTTTACTGTCATGGAGGACTAAAGAAAGCAGAATATATTCATATTTGAGAAGCTGAAATAAGAGAATTGGCATATTTTCTCTTAAAGAGTGACTCAAAATGATTAATAAATGATTAAAATAGTTTGAGATTGTTTTAATAGTCGACCGCTAATCAACGAGTTGTTGCAGCTCTAGTCCAGATCACGCGTAGATCATTTATTCACAGAGCCACACACACGCATTACCAACTACCAAACTAATTGGACATTTGATAAATTTTTTTAACATTTTCATTACCTTTATTTCATTTCATCATAAAATCACTAACAAGTGTCTACAGTCATGCTCCCCAGAAGAACTACACCAACAACAATAACAAACCAGCTTTAATATGCACTATATACCTGTATCATCAGTATGTCAGCTGTAATGGAGATCACAGCCTGGAAGGTCCATTAGCAGTGCTTCACACCTTAAGCCCTTCAGGCTCATGGTGTAATGGCTCAAAACAAGGAGTGGCAGCATGTCTAACAACAAGGCGGAGGAATGTTGACCTCCAACTGCAAAACTGTGGAGAAACTCCACCAGCTTAAAAAGAAAAGATGTGCACTACACTGTCTCAGTATAAAATTAAATAAGATGCTTTAAGCTCACCTACTGGATAATTTCGAACCCCATATAATATTTATATCATATGATGTGACTTCTGATAGGGTTGAATACTGTACCTGTATTGTGTCTCGTACAAATGGTGCGTTCCATTTACCTCAGAAGTATAATTCAGTAACCCATTATAGCTGTGTTAAACACTTATACTCTGTATTGACCTGGTTGCTTGTATGGAGTTCCACTCACATGATGCACCCCCACCAGTGAGTGTACATAGGATTGGATACAGTGCACCTGCGGCCAGCCAGCGTGTGGGAGAATAATTAATATTTATTTCCCATCATGATGAAAAAGTATTTGCATTTCTCCCTTTCAGCGATGGTCTAGCTGCATTACTTCAGGCGCTGTTGAATCTTTGTTAAAATATTGCTGGACTTTAAGTTGTTGCAATGGGGCAAAAGGTGGCTGGGTGGTGAAGTGAGCAACGTCCTCTGTTCTGACACAGAAAGCGTAAAAGAAGATTTACTTTGTTCAATCCAATGTGGAAATTCTTTAAATTACATTTTTTAGAGACCTCCACAAATCTCAGAAACATTTATGAATGTTAAATGCACGTATTGTGCATACTAGTTTAGCATTGTAAACGGTGTTAGGAGAGTTGGTTAAGATTGCTGTGGTACAGTTACTGTGCCTTTGTGGTTTCAGGTGCATTTGAGGACGGGTGCTGAGGGTGTCATTGAAGAACGCTGCGCCCCATCTCAGCCACTACAGGCTCGTTGGTTTCACTCGACGCTGACGTGCTGGGGCTCTTATGCTGGTGAAGTCTGACCTGAGAGCTTGTGTGTGTGTTTCACGTTCGTGAGTTGCACGGTGTACTATTTAGGGCAGAATTGAGCGAGTACTCTGCTGAAACCGGTATCCAAACAGGATAATCATACAAAAAAGCTGTGTCAATATAGCAACTTGATTGCTAAATACTCCCTTCTGAGCTGCTCTGAAAACAGTTTTCTAATAACTATCAAACCAGTTTAAGGCTTAAAGGGAACTTCGGCAGATCTTACCTAGTCTTGATCAACTAGAGGTCCCGAACGTGACTGGAGGGTTTCGGGGATAAGGGAAAAAGAACGACCAAATTTGGTTCTAGGCAAAACTGGAGTTCCTGCAGCTAAATTGGCCAACGAGCTCCAGTTAGTTTATAATACACTTCTTGGGGGAATTTCTAAAAGAGGCCTCTGTTGCTCCTTTAACAGACCACAACATGCATTAAAATGTCTGGCAAACAATGATCAGGGGGCCTTACGTTGACAACAACATGCCTTTTCACTCATACGTTGGTTGCAAAACCGTACCAAACAGTACTGTCGCTAACTGTTTTCCACGCTCGCTTCACCGAAAGCCCCAGAATAAATCGATCACAGAGATAATGCCTTTCGCGATTGGAAAAAGTTTATTTTTCCCCCTAAAGTGTCCATGTCTTCACACACTACTCTCGGTTTGAACACTTCCTGCAACAATTTCTTCTTCTGCGTTTTCCCTCCAACAAGTGGAAAATCCCAACGGACTTCAGCGCTACACTTCACGTTAATGCAAAAAGAAGAAAAGAAGTTGAGATCGGGAGGAAGAAAGATCCCTCCCCCACTGGGAAAAAACCGAACCATTCTTCTCACAGTAGGATCAACCACACGTTATTTTACTCCAAGCTTCTTATCTTCCTTCTTCTTCTCTCTTCGTTTGATTTCCGCAGGTTTATGAACACCTCCATCTTAACTCTCTCTTCTTTCTGCGTTAAAGCTGCAGGGATCTCCAGTGTTGCTTAAACCCAATTCCTGGTCGTTCTTCCTACTGACAGTACTCGGTATCTAGTGATCAAGGACTAGGGTAAATCTGCCGAAGTTCTTTAAATGAAACCACCTCGAGTACACGACAACAAGAATAGCAGGATAGGTGGTTAAACATAACCAGGTACGATAGAAAAGATACTGGTGTACCCACTCATCCTATTATACCACACCGTCAATTAAACAGGCAGCATAAAAAGTTAATGTTGAAAATTTATGATTAAATACAGAAAGACTGACAGTAGGGAGGCTGCACTGATTAATTGATTCATCGATTAAATGGTCCAATTATCTGGTTTCAGCTTCTCCAAGATGTTAATATTTTCTTGCTTTCTTTTAGTTCTCTATTACTGTAAAACTGAGTACTCTTGGTTTGTTTTTTCTGATATTTTATGGACCAAAAC